TTTCCAGATCACATATTTGTCTAGTCATTCCTAAACTGTTATAACCTCCTAGCTGATTCCCTAAGCCGACTAACTAACATAAATGTATTCGGATCAGTTTAACGTGTATTCAAACAAGAAACCTGGATGCATGTTATATAAACTGGGAATAAATAATACTGCCCTGAAATAATGGTCCTTTACGTTGAATAAAGCTGATTGGCTGTTTGTCAGTCCAACGATTAGTTGTGGTTATCATAAGTTGAATTTTGATTGGTCCATTTGCAGACTAGTTTGACTCTTTTATCAACTAGAGTTTCGATAAAGCAATAAGAAGACTGTATTTACCAATTTGAATGTACGTGTGGACACACATACATAGGGAGGACTCATCGATCTCTGCAAGTAAGGGCTGGCTTCAGAGCATATTCCTAAATGGTTCCAGAAACAAATGGAATCTTCAGAACCTATTAATGGTGAGAACAGGAGACCTAGCTCTTCTATTGCGAAACATATTATAGAGACAGGACATAAAATTGACGTTAACAGATCTTTTAAACCTATCTATAAAACGTGTTTGGGGCGTATCCTGAAGTTTGTGGAAGCCGTAGCTGACAATTAGAAAGTTTAAGCCACCTTTATGCGTTCAAAAACAATTCGTCATCACATTGGTAAATTTTGTTTTGATACCAGCCAGGGTAGATGTACTATTACCTCTGCTATTTGGTTTAGTGGTCTTCATTGGTATTTTAACCTTGAATATGTCCTTTTAACTTGACCTAAGTCTATTTTCTCACCTCTTACCTCTTTATTAATTCCATATATATTCCTATGAAATGTCCGTGTGTGATCAGATTATTCGAAATGTGTTGCGCAAATACATTATACGATTCAGACAAATTACGTCTTCTTATTGCTTTATCTAAATTCATAAAGGGAACTAATTGTTTTAAACTAGAGTTTCAGTAAATCGAGATACACAGTCTAGACAGTTTCAGTGTCTAGACTGACGATCTATTCACCACAAATCAATATTGTGAAGTGTATTCATAATAGTTTTTGATAAGGATGAGAATATTTGTCCATCACCGTGTTTTCAAATCTAGAGGATTGGAGACTTGGTGATATGACTAAAAATCACACGCAGTGATGCATTTTTATTCACTCTTTGTGATTGATTACCTAGGACTACTAAATTCTCCCTGTACTTATTCATTCTTTTGAAAATGAAAAGTTAATTGGTGGATGGTGACTAGCAGTGGAATCCAGGATGTGCATTTCGTCCTATCTGGGACTCATCACTGGATGTACCTGCATTCCGCAGTGAGTGATGATGTTCCCACAGAGGCTCGAACCCAGTGCCCATAGCAAATGAAAGTTTATTAAAGTGTCTTCGAATTTCTTTTGTTTGCTTGTATGTGTGTGCGTGGTATATTAAGTGTGGTAAATTGAAATGTTTCATTTTATGCAGATTTTAACGTCGAAAATCCAGTTCGCTTCACTTCATGTAACAACATGGGAGAGTAAATGCATCCTAATGATTTGAACTATTAATTGGATATAAAACAACTGAACAGTACTCATACTATTCACCAATCTTCACCTAATTATTCTTACCCTTACAATTATATTTATTCATTGAATTTATGTTCCTTTATTTTGTGCACTTTGCTATGCTGTCTATTTAAATTTAGGCCACCAAAATACTTGTTATCTGATCCTGTTGACTTCATTTCTCCTCTTCGCCACTTTATTCATCGCTCTACTATTCAAGATTCTTGAAAAAGACGTCATTTATATACTACTTATATATTGTTGTCAGTAGGGCTCATAACACACCGTGAAGTATTTTACGAGTTGATCACGGATTGATATCAGTTAGAGAACCATTGAAAACCAGCACTGGAGTACTGGACAGCTGCTTTTCATCCTAGTTTGGGAATCATCGGCAGTACGCACCCACCACAGAGGTTCGAACCCAGGACCTTCCGGTTACAAGGCAAGCTAGCTCGCATACCATTCAGCCACTGGGATCCGATCCAATGGCCAGCCCATTCTAACCTCTACCAATTCGTGATTTAGCGCGACCCCAACCAGTGTCAACGGTGGGACATCCATCCTCAAACGTGACATCTGGATGGACCTCACTGGTCACGACTTCTCACTAGAACTCCAGGAAACTCCATCCTGTAGCAAGTCACTAGCAAGCATCAAATTAATTTTCTATAGTTTGGTTTGTAAGGGTTAGTTATGTTTTTACGAGTTGATCACCGTGAAGTAGTTAGCACAAAATGCAAATCACATGCCTATTCGCATTTTGATTTTATCCATAAAAGGAGTAAGCCTGTCTAAAATCAATCTTTTGGACGAAAGTAATTATTATTATCATTATTCTGAAGTGTATGGCCTTTGTGAGAAGTTCAACGTCGATCAATAGGCAACGTTAAACAACAAGAAAACACCAGATTAAATTCGTACACACATATACAAAAACCTCCCTACAATAAATACTGTTAGACTGCTGGAACAAAATCTCCTTAATTCTTTAGAATTTCGCTATTCGGTCTAACTAGCATTCAGTTATTCATACTACTGTGGTGTGTATTACTGACAAGATTTATCAGTAGTATATAGACGCGGATTGATAGGAAATAGCCAAAATTGAAATCACCATTTGAAGTCAATGGCTGCAGCACAGGTAGAAGTGTTTATTCCTTAAATCTGGATTTAGCCTTACCTTATGATCAGGAAATAATCTCATTGGACAACTGTTCAGTTCAAAGTTTAATCTTCGGAAAACTAACAACCAATCAGAACAGTCTATTATATGCTGGCCCAGTCGACCTTAAATGTGGCTAGAAATGTATAAATAAATGCGGTGTGTTTTTCCTTAAATGTCTGTCTTCTCCTGTTATCCTGCCAAGAGACATGGTCCTGTTCATACAGTCAGAAAAGGAGATACACAGAAAAATGTTAACGCTAGCCAACTTCACAGATGGATACAGTGAAGGGTGAAGAAGTGTCAGTACCAAGGCAATAACAAAAGAGCAGGTAGCACCAAGAAGGTTGGAATGGCTTTGCTTGAAACATTTTGACAGAGGCGGAGAGGCGAGTGTGGCGCGCTACTGACAAAAACTTATAATTAGTATATTGTGTGTGCGTGATGTCTTCCACAATGAATATTGAACAGCGGAGGGATGGGTTGAATGACGAAGAGAAGAAATGAAAGATCCTTGTGTGAAACAAACATATAAAACATGAAATGATAAAAGACAAAAGAAGAACAATACGGAGAACATGTGCAAATGATGATTTTAACATAACGTATGTGTAGCTTTGTAACAACAGAAGACAAGGGCCAGGCAACAGATCGTTTATTACGGAAAATCAACACATATTTATAGATTTTAATGTACATTATTGTAGATTATTGTTAGTAGAAAATAAAGTCTTTTGATTGGTTGTTTCTCACAGAAAGTTAACCTTGCATTTCTTTGTGGCTGTGTCAGATCATCTATATGCTAACTGTATCCGCCTACGCAAAGCCTTTGTTCTCATTTTCTCACCACCAATATTGGGAACATAAACATTGACGTCAATTACTGTCTACCAACTTTGACTAGCAGCCAGCTCTCACCACAGCTTCACCAGACATCTGTACATCAATTTACCAATAAACTATTCTGCTATCGAATAACTACCGTGTTACCATGCAGTTACACCGTATAATATGGTCAGCAATATTGAAGTTAGGCCGTTTAGTCTAGCTAGTTAGTCAGTTGTCCATACTACTGTAGTTTCAATTCATCCTAAAACTGAATTCAATACACTTTACCATGCCTTAGTCTGTAAAGCATAAAAACTCCCTATTGATTTGTTTATTAGATATATCACACTCAGTGATGAAACAGTATTATTCACTGGATGACAAAGTTTCGAACACAATTTATTGCTGTGCATAATCATTTCATCAATTGTAATCACACAACTTTGAAACTTTCGTTGTATAGTTTTCTTTATTCTTTCCTATTTGTTGTAAGGGTAGTAGAATTTTCCAGAGGTCATGGTGGACAGATGTTGAATCATTCCTATTACACTTATTTTCAGTTGATTCGATAAATAAAGCTTCCGTTATCAATCTCTCCCTTCACCCTGTTATATTAGGTTTTAAAACTGTCATCTTATCCCATCATCCTATATTGTATGGTTGTGTGTAATTGCACGTAGTGAGTGCTACAGCTGAACTATTCTCCAGATTTCTTATCTTATTAGGGTTAACTAATCTAGATTTTGCTAGGTTTTTGTGCTCCGCTAGTCTGACTGACTCCGTTCTACTACTTTGACCCATGCTATTTGACCTGAAGATCATTGCAGACATCTGGAAAATTCTATTACCCTTACAACAAATAGGAAAGAATAAAGATGACTATACAACGAAAGTTTCGAAGTTGTGTGATTATAATTGATGAAATGATTATGCACAGCAATAAATTGTGTTCGAAACTTTGTCATCCAGTAAATGATACTGTTTCATCACTGTGTGATATATCTAATAAACAAATTAATATGGAATAAAAACTCCATCACACATATATACAGTACATATGTTTTTAATTTTATTCCTTTACGCTTCTAGTGGAACATACGGCTTCAAGTTTCGGTAGCACTGGTGTTTATTTTTACGAGATGAAGTTGCTAGCCTCATTCTTAACCTTCCTTCTTTACCAGTCTTATTACTGACTTAGTGAGGTAAAGGATTGACGTCGGCCGGGGACCGAACCCCGAACCACTTGATGCGTGGTCGGCGAGTATTCCTACCGCTGTGCCACCGACGCCCATATATACATATACAGTACAAAAAGGTGAATGTTTATTTGTTGGGAGATATATATCATATAAATCTGTTTATTACAACGATAAACACACATACATATACATGTACACATTGGAAATGATATCAACTTTCAAAGTAAAAACGACAACAACAAAAATTCCTTCAATTGTTTTTTCTTTCTTTTGATTTAGTTTGTTAATTCTGGTGAATAGTATAGAAAACGTTGTGCTGAACACTGACAAACTAATTTATCTAAAGTTGACATTATGCATAGAAGGCAGATCTTATCACGTTCACTTGTCTCCACAACTGATATCTGTTCATCGAAAATCTCACCAATTTCAGAATGTGAATCTAAAATTAAAAAAAATTTCCATTGAAAGATAAGGAAATATTAATGAGAATGACGAAAACTGCAGCTAAGCATATTATGTGTATTAAATTCAAGTAAGTGCACAAACTATGTACTACTGTAACGACAGAAGACAAGGGCCAGGAAACAGATCGTTTATTGAGGAAATGAACAGATATTTATAGATTTTTATGTACATTATTATTCGTTGTTATTAACAGAGAAACAGAGTCTTCTGATTGGTTGTTTTCTCCCTGAATGTTAATCTGTTATCTCTTTGTGGCCGTTTCTTTGATGGTCAGACCATATATCTGCAAATCGTATCCACCCACACAAAGTCTGCTGTGATTGGTTGTTGCGTTAGCCTTTGTTCTTGTTCTTTTCTCATGACCAAGATTTGGGAAATAAACATTATCGTAAATTGCTGTCTACCAATTTTGGCTAGCAGACAGCTCTCACCACACTACTACTACTATTAATAATAATAATCAACTAATATAAGCTGACTAACCGAGTTTCAACATCGAACTTTGCACAGAAGTGCAGCAAAGTTCAATTTACCACACTCTATATGGGGCGGGGATTACAAAGAGTGAAGGCGTATGCCATTGAGAACAAGGATTTCGAGCCATATCACCGATAGTCTCCATTCATTGGTTCCGAGCATTTCGAGGACTCCAACCAGGCAGTCTATACCTCCCCAATTTGGCTTAAAAACCAACTATCAAAGGCTTGATGGATTAATTCCAGGTTTTGATTTGACCAACCGTAATTCTCCCCCCCTCCCACTTCAACCAATATCATCTTACACTGCTCATCAAGGAAGGCATTGGCTTAGCATGCACAACGTATGTTCTAGCCATTCCAATACAAGCAGTCAAAAATCTCAGGCAACAGTGTGATCACTAATGTTCGCTAACCAAATCGGTATTGTTTTAAATGTGAGACAACCAAACAATCAGTTCGTGTTGTGAAATAAAATCTTCACTAGAACTCAATTACCCAGTACAGATTTTCGATATAGCTGGGTGATGAGCCACACTCATTGTGTGAGGAGGGTGATAATACTACTTACCCAGTTGCCCAAACTAAAGTAGATGGAGCAGGATTCGAACTCAGGCGCCAGTGTTGCTGACAGTCAAGTGCTTAAGCGCCAATAGACCAGATGTTGAAAAGTACAATATAATTCTATATCATACAGTAAGAAAACTGTGTAAATACTTCTGAGAAGTTCGTATATCGTCTTTCCTTTCCAAGTCAATAAATAACAGGTTTTTATAATAACTAATGGCAGAAAAAGAATAGACCGATGGGCTTCAGACGATCACACTTCCCTTTCATCTCAAAGTGATGCAACATAAGGTGTATTGAGACTATCTTAGGGTTGCTAAAGAGTACACAGGAACTTCAAGGATAACACAGAAAGAGAAAAATGTGACTGTAAAGGTCAAATGAATTCTAGAATTTCTTGTGTCAAACACTGTATGTAGTTTGCAGAAGAATTTAGAAGTGTCTTGAATACTTCGACAGACCAATAACCACTACCAATGTGTCCTGTGTTCGAGTCCTGTTCCATACACATCAAACTGAGCAGTTTGTCACTCATGCCACACAAACTGACTTCAGGATTTCATTATGAACTAACATTGACTAGAGAACCACTGAAAAAAAACCCAGGTGCGTACTGATGAAGAGTCCCAAACTAGGACGAAACCGCTGTTCAGTACTCTCAGGTATTTCCCAGTGACTAGTACTGTTCTGACTGAGACTCGAACCCTCCACTCATCATTTCATACACAAAAAAGCATTATCCATTAGACCATGGGAACCACCTCTTGTGAAACGAGTACCAGTTATTATTTTTGTTTCTAGGTTAAATTTTGTATTTCACGTGAGACTGATTATGTTAGAAGAAGAACTCAGTCTCTGTTTGACAAGTCGGCTGCTAGTACAGATGCTTCAATGATGTCTGAGGATTAAAATGACGCTGTTTTGGTTTACAACTAAGTAGCACCAGGGGAAATCATCTAAAACAGTTGTTGTATAACCTACATCGGTAGCAGACAGACGATATCTGTTATCACCGTGTTCATACAAGTTCCTGAGATTTTTTATCATAACAATAATATGAGGAAAAATATAATAACACAGCACCTGAAGAATGCAGTTAAAAGAGCTTATTATGCAGCAGAGGTACGTTGTCTCTTCACAACCACCCCTATTCTACGTTCCAGAAATAAGGATAAACTACCTAAATTTGCCTCCTCCTCTAGGTGTATCTACCAGTTTGACTGCAGCTGCGGAGCCAGCTACATTGGGCGTACAATTAGGCAGGTTCATCATCGCATTTCCGAACATCATCCAACATGGTTAAGCAAGGGACAAACAAGATCTATTCGTAGATCTATTGTAGCACACTTTGTAGATAGTGAGCATAAGGTTGACGTTAACAGTGCATTTAAAATTATTTATCGCATTCCTACTAATCTTAATTTTGCTTTACGAGTTCGTCTTCTACATACAGCTGAAGCAATAGGAATCCACCTGTGGAAGAAGCCAAACCTGTGTGTTCAGAAGAAATTTGTACAGCCACTTTCCTTACTGTGGCCATCGTTACATGAATGTATAAATCGGAATTATTTTATTTTTTCTGACCACTTCATCTTTAATTACGTGTTATCCTTGTAAAATTAATTTATTCTAACCATTTTTATCTTTCAAATATGTATTGATTTTCTTCGTTTATTATCAACCCATTGACATTTTGACACTGACTAATTATTGTTAACAAACATATCAGTGCCATTTGATTGGTAAACTGTTGTGTATTGTAATAAAAATGTTATGGATACATATTAGAGTAGAGCCAGAGTGAGATGAGGATCTAATTGAAAAGTAAATATTTCTTCGCTCAATCTTTCTGTTTTCTAGAAGAGTAATTCTTACTATCAACCTTTGCACACAACAAGTGTGGCTCACAGGCTGAGGGTGTACATGAGAAGTCTGTTCCGCCTATGCCTGAGTTCTAACAATAACAATAACAAGGAGAAGAAGATATCTATAAGAGTATTCTTTTTTCACTATTCAATGCTGCTTTAGTTTATTATAATTATAATTATTATTATTATCATCATCATCAGAATTTACAAATAATCAAAACTAGGTATTTGAAGTTTTTGTCTTTAGTCTTGTGTATAATACACGCGCATAGCTTTTATGCATGAAAGAACTAGCCCCCCCCCCCCACAACAAAACAGTGTTAATGCCAAGAATAACAGATTGTCGGTGAAAATGTCTACAAGGTCAAATAAGGTGAACTTTAATTTTGAAAACATAAATACCTAAAATACTACTACTACTACTAGTATATATATATATATATATTTATATATTCAAAAAGGCCTTCGACAGTGTTGACCGTGAAATAATTTGGAAACTACTTCAACACTACGGCGTGAAGTGCCCAAGTCTTTATCAACCTCATTCAACAGCTATATGACAATGCCGCGTGTCAGGTGATCCATACCGGAAAACTCAGCGAGGCGTTCGAAGTGAATACAGAAGTAAGACAAGGCTGGCTGCCTATTATCACAGATGATATTCTTATAATTGTGGTGGACTGGATTATGCGTCAGACTGTGGAGTGAGAAGACAGGAATACGCTGGATCACTGACGATAAGACTCTAGAAGGTCTGAATTTTGCAGATGATATATGTCTAATTTCACAAAAACTCGAAGGCTTGCAGGCGAAAACCAACAAACCGACAGAAGAGGTAAGCAGCGAAGACAGGACTCCAGGTGAACATAGAGAAGACGGAGGTGGCGAAGATAATCAACCAACAACCACCAACAACAACAACCAGACCAATCAGCATCAACGGGAGAGATTTGACAGAGGTTACTTCCTTTACTTATCTAGGAAACATTGTTTCAACAACAGGCACTCGGAACGGATGAAGGTGTCGAAACTGGGCAGAATCGGAAAGTCAAGACACGCCTTCATCAACCTGAAACCAGTTTGGAAATCTTCTGCACTCAGCATAAACAACAAGATTCGGATTTTGTAAAACCAATGTGAAGTCGATCCTTCTACATGGGTCAGAAACTTGGTGTGTCACGAAAAGGATTTCCAACAGGCTACTGCGGACTTTTATCAACAGCTGTCTTCGCTGGCTCGCTCCATACTCAAGATCAAATGGCCAGAAAGAATAAGTAAGAAGAAACTGTGGGAACAAACCAACCAAGAGCCGATCGCTCAACAAATATGTAAAAGAAAATGAAAATGGATTTGGCATACGTTGAGGAGGCAGTCGAATGAAATCGCGCGCAGTGCAGGCCATCGCTAGAATGGAACCCGAATGGGAAGCAACGAGTGGGTTGTTGGTGCGAGGATGACATGAAGGAGATCATGGGCAATCATGGACCCGACTGAAGAGGACAGCACCAAATAGAACGAAGTGGAGGTGTGTTGTTGAAGCCCTATGCTCCCCTCGGAACCCAAGGGAATAATATATATATGGTCCAAGACTTAAACCACTGGATTTCGCATTTGAATGGTATTTACTACAACCTAGGCAACTGACTACGTATATAATCGTATCAAGCATGCAAATCGCATTCATAAACTCATCAAATCAATATACATTGTATGCATAGACTTACTCAAGTTTAAATTTTCAAATTGATGACTTAAGCTTAGACGAGATTCAGATGACATTGTACAACCAATCATCAATCCGACTGACAGGAGAAGACGTGCAATTATAGGCGCTAGATTAGGAAATCCACTGCCTAATCGTAATAATGATGGTAAACATTCGTATAATAGGCTTGAACGTTCCTCAGCACTGACAACAACTGTAACGATAAAAAATATATACATAATTACACGAAAGATAAAAAGGAAATGACTGTGAATAATTAAACTTTAAGTGAATACATAATCTTTTTTCAAAAAGGATTTGGACACTAGTTTAAAATTAAGAAGAGGACAAGTATGAGTCATCTGGTCACTCAAATAGTAAACTATCGAAAATCGATTCAAAGTGCACAGTTATAATGAGTCTTCCAACTTACTGGCCAATCTTCAGGCTTGAGTGATAGAGTTCAATCAGCAACGAGCATCGCATAACATGTCATTGGTTACTCACTAGTGAGTGACATCTAACTGCAGCACAGAGTGTGTGTGCTTGTGTTCGAATGTGTGTGGGGCATCACTTCTTATTTGGAGGTTTCAAGTACTCCTTGCTAATGGGTGGTGGTGAACTCATTCCCTCCTCAAACAAGTGTTTCATGTTCTAGACTGTGAGTCACACTTGTCGCATGTGAGGGCTGATGATATTACTACCTAGTTGCCCAGGCTGAAGTAAGTGGGGAAGGATTCGAACCCAAGACCAATTACCTGAAAGCCTAATAATGTTTAAGCCAATGAGCCACATCTGCATACAAGTGATAATAAAGCTTATCCACTGCCTCTGACAATTAAACAACAATTACTTCCTAAAACCTAGTCAACTGAGTACATGGTGAGTAGTTTATTAGTCTACTGATGAAACAACAATAATAACGAATTATTATTATTATTGTTTCCTTTAATTCCTAGAGGAACATAGGGCTTCAGCCTCACGTCTCCATTGCGTTCGGTTCTCTGCTAGAGTCTTCACCTGGCTCCATGTCTGCCCACACGTTTTCATTTCCTCTTCACATGACCTCCTCCAAGTCACCCTTGCACTGACGACGAACTCGCCGCTTCCCTTTCGGTTTCCACTCAAGGTTGTTTCTTTCAGGTTCCTTCCATTTATGCTGATCGTTGTCTGTTGTTGTTGTTCTTGTCCAGGAATCTTCATCACCTCTGTTTTCTCTATGTTCACCTGAAGGCCTATCTTCTCTGGATGCTTCTTCTATCGCCAACTTGTTGCTTTTCGCTTGCATGTCTTCCAGTTTGTGGGAAATCAGACATATATCATCGGTGAAGTCCAAATCCTCCAGATATTTTGTGTGGGTCCATTTTATGCCTTTTTCCTCTCTGCCCGCTGTTTGTCGCATTATCCAATCTACTGTAATCAGGGAAATCATTGGCGATAGTAGGCAGTCTTCTCTTACTCCTGTCTTCACTTCGAAGGATTTTGTGAGTTTCCCGTTGTGGATTACTTAGCATGCAGCATTTTCGTACAGCTGTTGGATGAGATGTATAATTGTCCGTGGCACACCGTAGTAGCGAAGTAGTTGCCAAATCACCTCTCGATCGACGCTGTCAAAGGCCTTTTCAAAGTCGATGAAGTTGAGATGGAGAGTTGACTGCCATTCCAAGCTTTGTTCAATGATGATCCGTAATGTGGCGATCTGATCAATGCATGACTTGTTTCTCCTGAATCCAGCCTGTTCCGGTCGAAGTTTTTCATCCAGGGCATGTTTGATTCTCTCCAGGATGATGCGGCTTAGTATTTTTCTTGGGATGGACAGGAGCATAATCCCGCGCCAGTTCTTGCATTGACTTAAGTCTCCTTTCTTTGGTAGTTTGAATAAGTATCCTTTCTTCCAATCCTCGGGTACTTTGCCTTCTTTCCACACCTTCTCCAGTAGTGGCGTCATCAAGCCTGCTGTTGTCTCTGGGTCCATTTTCAATGCTTCTGCTGGGATTCCATCTGGTCCTGCTGCTTTTCCAGCTTTTAGCATCTTGATTGTCTTCAGGACTTCTGATTTCGTCAGGGGGTTGGTGTTCACTGGTAGCTCTGTCTCCGTCGTTGGTATTGTTGGGCGCGTTGTAGGTGGTAGTCGATTTAGGAGTCTTTTGAAGTGTTCAGCCCTAATAACGAATAAATCTATTCTAATTGCATAAACTTTTGAGTTGTGTCATTGAAAAATTTCAACTTAGGTAACCTAACTACCTCCAAGTGATTTTCTTATCATTCTAGTCTGCCTTTTAGTTAAGTCCTTTCAAACCACATAACTTGTATTTATGTCGATTTAGATGAACACATCCTGTGAGTATCCCAATAAAAACTATACATACAGATATTCTCTACATAACACTACCTTTTAGCTAATGACCGAAGGTGAATAAAGTTAGCATGTACATGCGTTACTTTTATTGTATTACAGCACAATCAAGTTGTATCTTATAGGGCTTAGTCACTTAGTTTTCACCGCTAGGAGGTCTCGGGTTCGAGTCCTATCATCTTTCAAAACATTAAGTCTTCTAATGATAACATTAACTAATTAGATGGACAACAGTAAGTGAGGTGATATTAGAAGTCGACAAGAATTACTTGTGATAGTCAAGTACCTGAACTACCAGAGTAAGACACTTCCACTCTTTACAATAACTAGGCTATGAACCCTACTACTATTGATTATAATTAATTACTGAACCTTCAAGGTATGATTCAAATCCATGACTTGGTTTAGTTGGAAAAATTACCAGTAAAACTTCAACCCAATAATAATAATGAAGAACAACATACCTGTCAGAAAGTGATACAATGAATCGATCATATATGCAGCACGATCCAAAGTTGCTTGAATATTGTAATGTTGGGCTAAATGTGAGACTAAATCTAAACAAAACACCTTTTGGGAAAAAAGAAAAAAAGAAGAGAATTAAAATTAAAAATAAGTAGGCAAGCATAAGAAAAAAACAAAACAAGAATCATACATAGACATATTTTTTTTTTGGAATAGTATTTCAAATACACTTTTGTAAAACAAGTGTGATTCGAAAGCGCATACTGTGTTGATCTAAAGATGAAACCAGACAAGAGCTGAATGGCTCAAAAACAGAAAAAACTTGTTCACCAATACATTATTTTGCTTTCCGAGTGGAATATATAGGGCTTCAAGCTTGAGAGCTTTGACGCTTTCGACAAAGTGGTACTGTTTTTAACGAGGTGGGGTTGTCAACTTTTCACGCCAACCTTTCCTTCTTTACCAGGCTTATTACCACCTAAGCGAGGTTTACGAGTACGTCGACGTTGGAATAGAAACCGGAGCATGTGTGTTTGGCAGGCGAGAAAATTACCATTGAACCACCGAACCAATAGAATGGTGTATTTAAACTGAATCTGGTCAGTTTATATTAGCCGTTTGGATTTGAGGTTACTTAGATTTTTCTTATCAAACATTCAAGGCACTTGCTTGTAAAGATGCTTCAGGACTATAGATCACATTTTTTAATCGTACTTTTAGGAAACCAAATAGAAGACGACTGATACCATGGTTAGAAATTAGTTGTTATTCACGAAATCGATATTTAGATGTTGAATGCTACGTTGAGCTTGTTGATTCAATAGCACACTGGCCACCATCTTTGTTGCAACATCTCTTGTGAATACGGAGAAATCACAGTAAAGATGTTGATACGCTTGTCATTCAAAGCTTGGTCTAACAGAGTACAGTCATAAACTAAGTAGGAAATTATACACACAGTGACATGGACATATGTGTCAGGAATTGGAAAACATGAAGCACCCCCAAACCCCCCCATACACATTCATGTAAATTTTATTTTCACACCGAAGCAATGCCATTCTTCTAAAACCAAATACTCTTCATTTCTATTATTGTCAAATATTTTTAACTTAGGTTATGGGTTTTTGCAGGGATTTGAACTGACTTCAATGAAGATTTCGTCACGAGTCGACATTACTTAGAGAATCACTGAGAATCAGAGAGTATTGGACAGCTGTTTCGTCTTAGTTTGGTGATCTTCAGAACCCACAACCCAACCAGAGAACGAACTCAGGGCCTTGAGGTTACCAGGTCAACTTTATGTTCAACTCCACACTGACACATTCATGTAATATATTAAGCGCTTTGAAAAAAAGTACGTGACTTTCAAAACAACACAAATTAACCCTATCTACTCAAAAGTATTTTAAAGAGATTTCAAATTTTGGCATTTAGTTTAATATTTTATTTCTATACTAGTAATCAAATTGTAGACAGAAACTTTTCTTGAAAGTACAACTACCATGTGATATAACTGTCGACTCACACAAAAAAGAATATAAAGGTCATGACCTTTGTTTGTCTGATTACAAAAAAAAACAGTGTGTTATTCGTATAATATTGATTGTATACACCTCCATCTGTCTACTTGTTCGTGTGTAGATAAGTTGTAAAGATGTCAGTCAAATATGCGACATCATTGTTTGAATCTACTCGATCTATGTTAATCCCTCAAAAACCCCAAAAGGAAATTTCTCTATGTGAATTAATTACATTCAGACCAATTGTAACAGAAAAAAGGCTTTTTGTCCGATAGGTTGTCCATCCTAACAGTGATGATATGACAATTGTTATTGTCACAAGAGTTTAACGTCATTCTAAAGCTGTTCATCACATGGACTACTGATATAGAACTCACAGCCAATCCATACCTAATTGACACACCACCTTATTCCTTGCCGTTGCTGGGATCATAAATTTAGCAAAGAAAACGCACATTTATATCCCTATTTCTCTGTCAAAATTCAAACAAAAATATAAAATTATTCTGGTATGATACATACTGAAGAAGAAATTTAACGCAAAACGTTTAGCTACTGAAAAACATTATAAGTAGCATGCATCACTTATTACACAAAAACAAAACTTAACACCACTTTCAGGGTATATTTTGTCTTAAGAATCAGTGAAAACTAAGAAGCTTTACATGACTGTTTTGTTCTAGGTTAGAATTCTTCAACAATACGAACTCATAACCCTCGACTGGGGATTGAATCTAGGACCGTCAGGTTACGAATCGAGCCAGTCGCTGTGAATTCGTGATATAGTGCAACTGCCGACCAATGACATAGACTGAATATCTGCTTTACCCTGATAATGCGAACCCTACCGACAATGGCTTCTTATTAGAACCTTAGAGTATCCATTTACTAACCTTCATTTTGTTATAAAAATGAAGTGCTAATCTCAAATTAGTTGAAATGTATGTGTATGATGAACTATTAAGAGTAATGTTCAGGTAATTACGATACACATATGAAATATTCCAGTGGGGAAGTAGAGATTCCTACTGGCTAAGTTAGAAGTGCCTTCTTCAAATTTTATCTAACCTTTTTAAAACAATTTATTAAAATGATGAGACAAGAATGAGATAAAAACTCAAATAGAAATAATTATCAACTGTTCAACTTGAATTTAAGAAACACAATTCAGTATATGCACAATAACCAACTCACTACAAGGTGAATATTAGAATAAATAGAATGTTTTAGCATTCACCCAAGAAAATGAATAAAGGTCATCCATTGAAGTGGCTTAGTATAGACAATGTTAAAATCAATAACATCTATAAAGTGAAGAGAACTGAGTATATAAGAAGTGGAACAGTTAAAAATATCAATGGGCCATTATAATAAGTGTTAACGAACAAACTATTCACCATATTAGTAAGAAAGCAAGAGGATGTGTCTCAGTAGCGAAATGATCGTTAAGGTGAGGCAGATTTTGAGCATAGGGAACTAAATTCATATCTGAAACATCATCAACTTATATGCAAGCTGTGCTAATCAATCCCTTGAAATTACTTATAAGGCTTTTCAAGACTTTCAGAATTCTAGAAAAGAGTCTCTTTTGGCCCGAAATACAGCTGAACTTTCCATTTTCAAAGAAACTAATTGACCAACTATGCAGGATCTAAAGGTTTCTGTAAAAAAATTTACAATTTTTTATTGATTAACGACAAGAATATGTTATAGACCATTCCTACTGATGTCATTTTGGAGTTTCTTTGTCCAGCAGTAAAGAGAACTGTGTATGTCGGTGATTCGCCAGCCACGCATGTGGTCCGGACCAGACTCCTAATTGATGCACTCATCAACCTCTCTTAGCCGGTAGTTGGCTCTGAAATCTGGATTTTCGGCTAGCATCTCACTCCTTAAAAAACAACAACAGACGTACTGAAACTTGAGGTTAGATGTTCCACTTAGAATGCAAAAAATGAAGAAATAACTGTGAAAACATGAGAAGAAACACATCAAACTGATAAAAATAATTTAACTATTCAATTATGCTACTTGAATGAACTTATAAGTAGTAAAACAAAATATACAGAAATTGTGGAGAAACGTTGTTCATCCAAATGAAAAGAAACGAGAAAGCCACTAATCGAGCAGCAAATATCTAGATTCTGAATTATATTTAAAATTTAATACGACGATTGCTTTTATCGAAAAATTTAAACTGAGGAAGAAAGATAAAGCTCATCTTTCTTAATGCATATATATTTATTACTACAAAATATCTTAATTCCACGTGCACTTGATTAAGTGGAAGCAAGATAAAGCTGAAAGCATTCAAGAGAATCTGACGAAAAATTGAAGACATACGCAGACGCACACACACACATACACAAAAGGAAAGAAAACACTGAATAAAGAAGTTGAATAAGTACTACAATTCTACCTAAAGGCAATTCACCGTAAGTAATTTTTTGGCTTTCATAGATTAATAATAATAATAATAATAATAATAATAATAATAACCTAAACACGAGCTAGATTAATATGAGCAAAATAAAACTGCCCATTTAATTCTGTGGAAAAAGAAACAATAATTCACATGTACAGCATAAAAATACTCAAATAAACGCAAAACTGAAGAGACTTTACACTGAAATTCACAAATAATCTTATTCAGATTTTGTGTATTTTAAAGGAATTTTCAACTGTAGACTGTGTCAAGAATTGACATCAGTTATAGAGAAGAACGGAAAGCCAAAGAGTTTCGGATAAATGTTCCACCCTAGATTGAGATTCTGCAGCAGTGCGCGCCCATGTAGGCATTGGAGAAGACAGGACCTTGAAATTACGATTTAAGATCGTTGGAAGTAGGGAGAAGTCATTATTATGATTATTATTGTTCCCTTAGGATCCTAGTGGAATATACGGCTTCAACTACACGTCTCTACTTGCTTCTGTCTTCTGCTGTACTTTTCACATACATCCATGTTAGTCCATACTGTTTCAACTCCTCTTCACACGATCTCCTCCATGTCACCCTTGGACGTCCCACTACTCACCGCTTCCCTTTCGGGTTCCACTCAAGCACTGGCCTGACGCGCGATGTCACCCAGCGGCCTCCTCAGCGAGTGTCCAATCCATCTACACTTTCTCCTGCATATTTGTTGAGCGATTGGTTCTTGTTTTGTTTGTTCCCATAGTTTCTTGTTGGTGATTCTTTGCAGCCATTTGATCTTCAGTATAGAGCGAAGACAGTTGTTGATAAAGGTCTGCAACAGGCTGTTGGAAATATTCTTTGTGACACATTGGCCAAGTTTCTGATCCGTATAGAAGAACTGACTGACTTGACGTTTGTATTGAAAATCCGAATTTTGTTGTTGAGTGTGGCTGAGTGACGAAGATTTCCAGATTGGTTTCAGGTTGATGAATGTGTTTCTCGCCTTCCCGATTCTCGATTTGACATCTTCGTCCGTTCCTCCTGTAGTTGATACAATGCTCCCTAGATAAGTGAATGAAGTAACCTCTTTCAAATCCCTCCCGTTGATGGTGATTGGCACTGGATGTTGCTGCTCCTGTTGTTGTTTTTGGTTGGTTATTTTCATAACC